TTTTTTTTATGACGAGTGGATTGCATTTTTTTAATCCTCTTTTAGCGCTTATCAATATTTTTCACATTTTTAATCTTTTTCTCCTTTTTTTCATTTTTTTCTTTTTCATGTTTAAGTCAATAAAAGGAAAAAATCAATAAAGTTAAAACAAAAATAAATTTTATTCTAAAAATGTTAGGACCTTCTTTTTCTTTCTTATACTTACAATTCTTTTTTATATTTAGATTAATATGAATGTATTTCATTAATCAAATTATCCAAAACTTGGATCAGATAGATGAATGAATCCTTAACAATATCTCTATAGCATACATTTGTATTATTAAACAACATCGACCAAGTTCTAGGTAGTAATTTGAAATATACAAGATTAATCCAGATTGAATATAAAATGTAAATCCTAAAATGAATATTAATATATTTGTTCATATTAAGCGATAATAAAGTCTTTTTTAATAAAAATAAAAAATAAAATGAAAAACGAAACCAGTGATAGGAAATTGTAATGATGACATAATAATTGTTGATTAAAAATGAAATAATCGGATTTTTATGCTCATTTCATTTTTGCTTTTTATTTTTATTTTTGTTTCTGTTTTTCAACAAATTTTATTTTTGGTCGAAATTTAAATATAATCCAAAATCAATTTGTGTTTGTTGTTGTCAGTGTGAAAAAGAAAAAGGAAAATTTGTTAAAAAAAAGTGAAATGATTTCTAGTCTTTTATTTATCACAACTTTGGAGACAATTTTTTCTTTAATTTCTTTTTCAAAATTACATTTTTTTCATTTTGTTTTCAAGAATTCGGCAATATAATTGTAAAATTACAGTTAATAATGATAATCATTGTCATCAAACGGTTAATAAAAGATGAAGAATCAGTGTGATTAAGAGTTTATTAAATGGTTCAGTTATAAAATGACAAGTTTTCTTATAATAACAATTCATAAATTATGAAATTCCATCTTATCATACAAAACAAAGAGAAAATGTTGACTTCAATTACAGGAAAATTTAACTTTTAACTTTTATTTGATAATTTTTGCCATAAAGAATTCATTTTCTTTTCCAATACGGCATTCAACATTTTTGAAATATTTTCCACTTATTTTTCAATTCTCTTTAATTTTTTTCCTCAAAAATTCCCTCTTACTATTAATTAGTAGCCATCAGTACTTCGATACAGTTTAATAATTAGCTATATATGAAAAAAATTTAATTAATTTACGTGTGCAAAGGAATAATGCTAGTTTTAATTGGAACATAGTTTTATTCCCAATTTTCTTACAAAAATAACTTCCTGAATTGCTCATATTGGGGGGAAAAAATATTTGTTAGATATTTGTTAATTAAATTTCTTTCGTTTTATTTTTAATTTTTTATTCCCATTTTTATTCTTTTTATTTTATTTTTCTTTCAAATCATTATCATTTTTCCTGTGTTTCCTTTTTGTTTATCAAATGTTTGTCAAATGTCAATCATTTATAATTTTGCTAATGCTATTGCTTTTTTCATGATTTGTCAAAAATTTGATTTTTGTTACACAAAATAAAGTGCGAAATGAGGAGGTTAATTTTATTTTCTACATATTATCCATAATTATTTACTCAAGTTAAGTAAAATGTTTAAAACATATAAATTATATTTAAGGAAATCACTTTATTGTATCCGTGCAAAAAAAAAACATAAAACAAAAAATGTCATACGGATATGACAGCATATGTTGACAATTGCTGATAACAGGGTTACATACTATATTATCGTATATATTCATAAATATTTGCATGAAAAATTTTTTGTAATTTTTTCGGATAGTAATAACAATAACGAATAAATTTTAAGGAAAAATCTTTATAGTTTAGTTTTCATTTTATACTATGATTTGAATATCGTTAGGTAAAAAAGAAAGGAAAAACATGAATTAATTGGAAATGAATTTCATTTTCTTTTTTTTTTTCAACAAGATTTGTAACGTACGTACGTAATATAATTTTATGAAGAATTTCTAATATTCGTACATGATATATTTTTTTATGAAAATTATTTGAATATTACTAAGTAAACGTGAATGAATCATAATGAATTTCATTTTGATATTTCATTTCTTCTTTTTTTTTCCTTCTCCAGTAAATATAAATGATAACATTAATGAACGGAAGCTTTCGATGTTTTCTTTTTTTCTTTATTTCTTTTCTAATAGATAGTCTTTTTTTTAATATGCATTTCATGAAAAGAAGCAAGAAATGTAAAATGCAAAATAATTCGCAGAAAAAAGAAGAAAAAAATAATTCTGACAATTAATATAAAATTATATTTTAAGGAATAAATTGAAATTATTGATAGAAAAAGAAAGAATTCATATAATCATTGAATCAAATATTCTTTTCATTGCACAAAAATAATTTCAAAAAAGTGTATTTGTGCATGTGTGTGTATGTATATGTTTAAGTGCTTGTGTGTACATGCCACGGTGAGCATTTGTATATATGTGCGGGAAGCGCATTTATATGTGTCCATGTGTAGGTACGCGTGTATATGTGTATGTAATGTATGTTATGTGTGTGTGTGTATGTGTGTCGCTGAAAATTTACTGCATTTTTCGTGAATCAGAGGTTAATTTGTAATTTAAATGTCAGATGTGACCACTTAACTTGTTCGCTCGCTTCTACTTCACCCTTGACCTTAAACCACCTGTTCATAATAAGTTAAACGATAATGTTATAATGTTATCTCCTTAATGTAACTTTTGAATTCCTTATCGTTGTTTGTCCAATGCGGTAGTATAGATAGCAGCGATAACATCCAACTCTATTCTTCATTATTGAATAATTTATATTCTATTCCTACTGCTATTACTAATAGTGTGTTTCATTTATATAATGAAGATAAAATAATGGCTCAAATTCTTTGGTGTAACCCTTCTCTCTTCCCCCAGTGTTTTCCTTCTTTTTTATTCTTTAGAGAGGTAGTGAGAGGGAATGACAAATTTATAATACAGACAAGTACACTTCTCCGATAGATGAATTCGAATAATAATATCAAAAATAAAAATTATTCAAACATTATTGAAATTCTTAAATATCTTTCAGAACTTTACTATTGATTGAAAATTTGTATGTATCATTGCAAATATTTGTTCGTTGCAATTTTAGAAAAATTTCCTTTCATTGGAAAATGCTAAAAAATTTCATGCTATTTATCCATAAAAATGACAAAAAAAGAAAATTATATGTGTAAGAACAGAAACTAGCTAACTACTTTTGAATTATGTCATTGTTAAGCTCATGTAGATAGCGTCTCCATGTTATATAACCTATAGTCGTCATTTTCAAATTTACATAATATACAGCTTTGTATCATTGGTGAAAATAATAAGTTAACAAGTATCCCTAACTGACGTGTATTTTGATCGTTAAATTTGAATAACAACTATTTTTCAACAGGGAGAAAAGAATAAAATAAAAAAATTTAATTCACAGCAATCTTTTTGCCACTTTTCTTTCTCGGATCTTTCTTTTCATTTGCAGCATGGACTGACATGAAATTACATCCTTATTAATTGTATGTTAATTTATGATGTGATGTATACTAAGCGATCATGTGTAAATGCGTGCTAACAGGTAATAGATATGATTGCGCATTAAATTGTGGGCGCATTTGTAACATGTCTAAAAGAAAAAAAATTTCGAATTTATTTTAAAGTACAATTAGTTTAAACCCATGTCCTCTAGTTCCCGAATCACTCAATTATGAAAAAAGCGAAATGCCACCGAATGCCAGAATAGTCTTGGGATGTTTATGTTTGTTTACGTTCCGGTCGTAGCAAAGGGAGGGAAAATCGTTTTAGTTTTGGGAGCAAAGAGCGGGTCAGGTCAAGGGTCACACATGGCAGCCATTTCATATCAGTTTCTTTTAGTCGCTAAAAGGTGAAAAAGTGAAAAGTTTGATAGGCTAAGAAATTTTCGAATTCATTTTCCAATAATTTCCCTTTGGGGATAAATATCCGGAAGTAAACGAGCTTCAGAAAAGGGAAAATATGTTTAAACATTGTTCCGAGAAACTTTTTTGCAAACTTACATACTCATTTATGATTTCCTTTTAGCAAAGCTATTGGTAGTGATGAAAAAAGTGATCAGTTTTTTCTTTTGATTACAATTGTGCTCAATAATCCAGAACGATTATTGTTAATGAAACATTCCAGTAAATGATTTTACAGAATTATTTTGTCCGATCGACGCTGATAAAACAGTACTTCAACTAGTAATTCGGCGAAAATAGTTGATGTCACTGGTACTAATAAAAGGTTTCTTCGACTGACAATATTGACAACATGACGCATTTGATCAAAAGGAAATTGTTAATTTGGTTAATTAATTAATGAGGCTCTTTTACATTTACATTTTTCATTTCATACTAATTGGTACTACGCGATAATTTTAAGCCTCACGTTTTCTTTTTCTTTTTCCCGACGTAATTGACGTTAGCAACAAATCTTGTCATAATAATTTATTTGTGTATTTGTACAGGTTTCATTTACTGATGTAATTCAACACAAAGGCTAATGTCGAAGCGTTCATTCATTTTCGGAGCCCGAGAAGATGAAGCATAAAGTATTATGCAGACGCAAGAATGCCTACGGTTGGACGCTTCGTTATCACTCTGTTATTATTAGGTGCAGCAGCGCATATTTTTCTAGGTGGTGACTTATCATTTATCAGTGATTATCACATTTGGAAACCAATAGTTGAAAACAATAAACAAGAAATTATTCTGATGCATGATACCAACAATAACAGTGATCGAGATTCCAACGGAATTCCATCAAATGACGAAAGAAAATTCCATTTAATTAGTGTTGCTCCATTTGCTAATTCAGTCAGTATTCCTTCAAAATTTTATAAGCTCTTCACTAATGGTTTACTGTACAGTAATTTAACTACTGTTTACCCAACAATAAATGCATCCATCATCAATAGTTCAACAAATGATGAGCCAACAGAAATATACACGAAAAATGCGTACTTCTCGAAAACCGATGAGAATATCCATAATACCGTGTTAAACACTACTGCAGGTTAGTTATTATAATATTATTTTTATAATTGGGTAGTTTTATATGGAGTTTCATAAAGCACTTTGTCAGTCTTAGTTCATACATCTATCTGAAAACTGTTTGATGCACTTTTCTTAGATGGTGTTAATGGTAGAGTAATTCTTAAAATAATTGTAATTCCTGAAATAATTCGAAATCGGAAGCACGGAAATCCGTAAGTAAGAATTTTACTCGTAAACTTAGATGGTGCTAAGGAGGGTAAACGACAATAGTTTTATTATTTCAGGGCGAATTATTTTAGGAATTGTAAATGTTTCATTTTCAGGTTCCCAATCTTCCGGGCGACTATTTGGTAATAAAACATTATCAACATGTAAGCTTATTTCGGGCCTGCAAATGGAGCGGCAAAATCTTAGCTTGGTGGATTGTCCCATAATACCACCTGGTTTGGTTGGTCCAATAAAAGTATGGTATGATGAGCCGACATTTGAAGAAATTGAGCGATTAAACCCATATTTGGAACTTGGTGGCCATGGAAAACCTGGAAGTTGCCTATCACGACATAGGGTTGCTATTATCGTGCCTTACAGGTTCACTTTTAAATACAGTATCTATTTCATTTTACACATACATAATGGAGTATTCGTCAGAAAAATTCAGTTTTGGGCAGAAGTGAGATTAATATTTGTCCGAGATCATTTATTTAGTGTGAACAAAACTGGAAATTCTCTCTATAATTTATAAATTCGTCATTGACTCACTGTACAATAATTATCCAGTTTCACTTAGTTTAACTTTCGTATGCCATTTGCAGCGAAAATAGCAACAAATAGTCTTGATATGAAAATTTATTGAAGGATTTTTCTGACAAATAAGTTGTACTTGAGCCTCCTTATTAGCATAGTTATCATAACACCTTATTTTTTACCACATCACAAAAAAAAAAAAATACATCTTGCGCTTATTCCCTTCCTCTCGAACTTCGTTCTTTCTACTGGAGTAATTTTCCACATTATAGTTTCAGTGTGGCCTGCGGGGCATTTATTGAGTCAGCTCAATATGTCACACATATTTTAGAGATCGAGAAGCTCATTTACGTATCCTGTTGCACAATCTTCATTCATTGCTTACTAAACAGCAACTTGATTATGCCATTTTTGTCATCGAACAACATGAGAATGAAACATTCAATCGTGCTAAGTTGATGAATGTTGGATATACGGAAGCGATGAAACTTTACGATTGGCAGTGTTTCATATTTCACGATGTTGATTTGTTGGCAGAAGATGATCGTAACATTTATTCCTGTCCCGATCAGCCAAGGCATATGAGTGTTGCGATCAACAAATTTAAATACAGGTTTATTTTTACAAGTGAGAATAGATGAACTGAACGGGATTTTTTGTCTGTTGATGGTGTAATCCTCTTTGAGAAGTGTCTCATACGTTTATACGCAAATGCAACCGGAAGAAAGGCCGTGCTGTATAATTGAAAAAGGTTTAGTAATATGAACTGATTTTAGTGGAATTATTCCAACTTCCTATTGCACTGTATTCGATCTAAATTGTTAAATTAGCGGGTTTGCTTTTTTGTAATATTTATTTGGACAATTGATTTATTTTCTAAGATTCAGTTCTTCCATCGGTTGTCTTATCTTTCGGGGTTGTTCTGACTATATTTTTATGTGTACTTTATAAAATTTTAATTCCTTTATCGATTTTAATTATGGGACATGAAAAAAGCCAGTAAACGATGTCTATTCTTGAATAATATATTTTACAGTCCCATATGATTGACATTGCAGGAACTAATTACTCATTGCAGGTTACCTTACGGGTCAATATTTGGAGGTGTAAGTGCTATTAGAACAGAACAGTTCCTAAAAATGAATGGCTTTTCTAACAGTTATTGGGGATGGGGTGGCGAAGATGATGATCTCTCAATACGGTGAGGAAGAAATTCTGAATTGTTCTAAAAATGTACTAAAAGAAAAATAAAATATTCTTGTTTGCGTTAGCTGGATGGCAGTAAGATAACATTGCAGGAACTTGACATTCTGATGTTAAAACAGATAGAGGGAAGCAATCCGGAAGCCTTACAAATCAAATCAAGTTCATTTGTAAATCATTTTTTAACAAATGTTTGCTCCTCAGAGTAACTTCTCTTGGTTACAAAATAATGCGATATCCGTTGGAAATTGCTCGTTACCAAATGGTTAAACATGAGTCAGAAACGAAAAATCCCATTAATAGGTTAATTTCTTCACTCTTTATGTACTGCATTTTTGATGGCATAATAAATAAATATATGTATATGATGAACTTGAAGAATTCTGTTTGTTCTTAGAAAAATATTCTATTTAATGTTAGGAATTTCAGTGTCAAAACTATCTCGAGAAAGAAATTGATTTTAGATGTCGTTATGACTTATTGGCTAAAACAAAGGTGCGACAACAAATGGATGGTATTTCATCATTAAAATATGAATGTTACGATTTGCATTTTTTGCCGCTGTTTACACATATTAAAGTGAAATTATTCGAACAGGAGTCGAAAGCACAATTACGAGAAGAAGGCTTCAAGAAATGTTGATCTTTGTCCAAATGACGAGCGACTGTGTGTCCAGAAACCTAAGGAGGTATGCTCAAATCGGTTTTAAATTTTTAAAATTCGGTCAATTTTATTTCCCACCTGTTATTCTTATTTGTTATGATGCGGAACAAGTTTTGTTTTTTGTTTGTTTGTTTTTTAATCTGAACATTTCTTGAAAATGTTATACCGATATGCCGTTTTTGTTGAACAGATGTATATCTATTTTAGGTTTGACATTTGAAATCTAAAATTCGGATTTTTATGTGATTTTGGATCTTCCGGGAATTCATTGTATTCTTCGTTGTGTTTCTTTTTATGGAACAATTTTTTTTTTCGAGATTTCGTTAGAATGTCATGCTATCAAATAACAATGAAAATAATTTCAATATGACAACCCTTTAGTTTTTAATTTTATTCATAGGGATGGTATTATTGGATTATTTGTATTTATTACTTTCTATGTGCCCGTCTTTTTTTTTTTGTATTCATTCTAGAATAGATTACACTAAAAACTTTAGGCTTATACTCTTTCTTTTATTTTCTTCCTGCTGTATTGCTTCATATTCAAATTTTTCCATATCTATGAAGATGAAATCATGACTATCCGCAACAAATCAACTGATTCGAATATGGAATAACACTACAAATGGCATCGTGTTATCTGCATGGATTGAAGCAACGAATGATGCAATGAAAATTATTGTTATTAAAGAATGAATGTTCATCATAGCAACTGTATATTGTACAATGGAGAACATCTAATTGGATATAGCCTTACGTGAGCTTTTTCAAGAGCTCAGTTACTACAGTGAAGTCACTTATCACTTTATTCAGTTCGTTTTCTGGTTAAAACAATCGATGGCAGTTAGAATCTTCACCTATTTCATATATGAGAGTGAACAATCTGTTTGTTTATTAAAAATTTATCTTGATTAAATACTCAATAAAGGCTGAAAGCTGAGTAGACGGATGATATCCCCTTCTAGCTTTTCACTTATTTTCCACTTATTAACACACTGTGCTAGCTGTATATTGTATGTAGTTTTTCTACATCGTTCCATTGTCACTTCCATTAACGTAATTAAAAAAACTCATCCATAAAATGTTACTTTCCGGAATCACTCTTCCTCTCCCTTTTTCTTTATGTTTAAGCAGGTCACAATGTATGATTCTTGCTCACTGATTTATGCCTTTCATTGTCATTTACTATAACAGAAATATGTAGAATGTTGGTGATTGAAAGGGAAGGAGCGATAAAGTTGGATATGCTAATCAAGTGGATCTTTGATTTTTGAGTAAAAATTTAATCGGTAAAGCGGTGAATTATTCCATTATCCTTATTAATGTTTCGTTTCCTTACTTCCACAGAAATTTCAGCAGTGATTGACAATTCAATAAATCGGGCAACTTTAAAATAGTCAGGATATTGCGTGGATTATGTAATTTTTATTAATGGCAGGTTTCTAAAGCAATTATTGTATGCATCCCATTTCTATGATAACGAAATCCAGGTTCCGCATCGAGATGAGGACGATGAATGATGTTTGAGGACTGAGAGAGCAGGTGAAGGTCGAGCTGTTGTGAAGGCATAGAAATTTAGTGAACCCAAATTCTTCTATTCTCCCTAACCTTTGTGTTACCGTAACGAAAGGGACACATATATTTCAATAAAAGTTAGAAAGGGGACTATGTCAATAGTTAATAGAATTTGGAGGATAAGAATAGATTTGTTAATCTTTAAATTGTTAAAAGGTTGGGTACTATCAAATACTACAGGTTTAACTTCACTCCTATTCCTCCTTGTCAGGTGACATTTTTGTAAGAAATTCACGCAAATCAAATTTGACTGGTCCCTTAATCTATAAATTGCCATTTCCTTTCTCATATATCTTCGTCTTTTAATCTAAAAAAAGTCTAGTCAAAGTTCATTGTCATTTAAAGACGCAGAAGAGGATGAAATCAGATTTGCGTTTTATTTTCCGAAACACTCTGCCAATAATTACTTGCTTTTAATGTTTCATTGATGACACTTATAAGTAGCATCTCATCACTTACTCATTTATCAAATAATGAAGTTGGCTTTAACAAAAACGGAAATCATTGGTCAATTTAGACATCTCTTAAAATATCTGCACATTTCATCCTTTTTATTTGAATAGGTATATCGCCAATCTCGTAATTGAAAGAAAGAAAAGTATTTTTACAACAAATAAAATTCTTTCCCAAATCTTCACTGTTAGAAATTCTGTCTTTCATATTTCCAATTTGTTTTGCTCTCTTACCCATGGAATTTTATCAATAATTTGTGTGACATTAAATTTTGGCATGCACAAAATCCTCTTGACTTTGAAAGAATTGGCATGCACAAAATTTTCTTGACTTTGAAAGAATGCAATCCCTTCGCTGTTAGGATTCCTCACTGTGAAGTCATCCCGCATTACGCCGATTAGCTGAGTTGAAGACGTTGAGATAAAAATTTTAATTTATAGCACTTGTATACGTACCCAACATTCACGAAACCATCAGGGAATTACGCTAATAAACTTGGCGAGGAGAGAACATGCTTTCTACGTGTATGAAGAAACTGAGACTAACTAATTACAGGGCCAGAATTTAATGCGAACTAACGCCATTAACCCAGCCACCACTACTATTATACCATTGCTCCAATACAGACAAAATCTTTACAGTAGCTAGCCTTTTTCGATAACTATTTTGAAAACTAATTTCCCAACGTCATCCAAAATTTCAGTGAACTTTACATAAGTCTTACAGAAACGTTTAAAAAAACATCACACCCTCAAGGTGAAACAAAATTTCAAATTTTAAAACGCTACATAATTCAGCGGTAATTACCATCTCTACATGAATTCCCTTTTGATATATCCCCACAAAAACATTTATTTTTACTCAGTGGTAGAATAGAACAGAAAAATGCGAACTTTCATAAAGGTAAGTATAAAGAGATCTTTTATTCGATCTGGGAAAACGACATGATATAATCTTACAAAACAGCAAAAAATTTATTGACGAGAAAACAAAATCGCAAAATAAAACAATAACAGTTAAATCAAACATGATGATGGAAATTGTTAAATATTCCCAGAAGTGGAGGAATGTTATCAAAATATACAGCAAATCAAAATTTTTATCAAAATATGTATAGTATCTCAAAATTATCAAAATGCGCACAGTAAAAGAGTGGACATAATCAACGTCGCAAGAAAGACATAAATGAACAACAAATAACAAACTGAGCTGACTGAAAACGGAATAAAAAGCGTCTCCCGAGATTTACTGAGCCTAAGAAAATTTATTGGGAATATTGAGATTTACTGAGATTAAATGTGATTCCTAAAATAAATTCAGTGAAAATGCGGAACAATAAC